TAATATACATCGTGCGATATGAAGTGCTGGTTCCCACTTCTCTGTCTGTTTTCTCCTGTCACCAGCTTACTGCAAGGACGAATACATCAACAACACTTACCACTCACCTCCCCACACCATAGCACATATACCCATGTAAAAGCGAAATGTAGCTGTGAGCTGGCAACAAGTATAAGCATGACGTCACCCATTCGTGCCGTGTGCACAAATGTTTGATCAAAGTGCAAAAGTAACCTGCATATGTACATCGGACAACCAAATTTAATTAATCAGGCAAATGCCCCCTGATTTGCGTTATCATGAAAAAAGTAGATATGGACTCCAGGTACATGCATCGGTCGTTTTATGTCGCCATCAGTCAATAACAATAAACGCCCATGTGTTATGTTGTTACGTAGATATGAACATATTTTCCCGATCACTTTGAACAAATCTAGTTTTATTGACCGGCGCCGGAAGTCACTGTTTTGAAATTGTTCACTGAGGAATTGTGGGGAGCAGTCATTTTTTGTGACAAACCTTTTCCTGCTCAAATTAATGGAAGCATGAGAAAGATGTAATGAAAAGGTGTTGTAAAGTAACAATCTTAACCTATGCATGGACATATTTTTTTGTTCTAGAAATATTATTTTTTATTTGCAACGACAGCAATTCATTTCTTAAGTTTTTAGTCAAAGAACTGCTCCCCCACACTTTAATGGCGACTAGACAAAAACCAGTCAAACTGAATACATTCGACACGAAGCCACGAGGTGGGGTGAAATGGGTACAAAACTATTGTATTTATATAGCGACGTCCATGCACGTATGTGTGTATGCTTGTACTAGTACAGACTGATGCCTACATATGGTGCTTGCCCCTTGAGATACCATGCTGCTGTTAAACATGAATACCCCACTCAGACACAGTATAGTGACCCCGAGCCGACCAGTCCTTGTTTTAGCCCCTTAACGTCGAGCGCCAGGCAAGGTCACAACAAGTACCTTCTTTTAACGTCTTTTGGTATGACGTTGCCGGGGATCGAATCCCGGAACTTCCGCTCTCCGGGCTGACGCTCTACAACTAGACCACGGAAGCGGTCCATGGAGCCATGATACCAACTGTGTGTTTTCCCATGTTATCAGCTTTCTTCAAGGACGGACGCATCAACAACACGTCACACACAGATGTAGATAGTGAACACCTGCCTTCCGCTCTCCGGGCTGACGCCCTACAACTAGACCACGGAGCCGGTCCATGGAGCCATGATACCAACTGTGTGTTTTCCCATGTTATCAGCTTTCTTCAAGGACGGACGCATCAACAACACGTCACACACAGATGTAGATAGTGAACACCTGCCTTCCGCTCTCCGGGCTGACGCCCTACAACTAGACCACGGAGCCGGTCCATGGAGCCATGATACCAACTGTGTGTTTTCCCATGTTATCAGCTTTCTTCAAGGACGGACGCATCAACAACACGTCACACACAGATGTAGATAGTGAACACCTGCCTTCCGCTCTCCGGGCTGACGCTCTACAACTAGACCACGGAGGCGGTCCATGGAGCCATGATACCAGCTGTGTGTTTTCCCATGTTATCAGCTTTCTTCAAGGACGGACGCATCAACAACACGTCACACACAGATGTAGATAGTGAACACCTGCCTTCCGCTCTCCGGGCTGACGCTCTACCACTAGACCACGGAGGCGGTTCATGGAGCCATGATACCAGCTGTGTGTTTTCCCATGTTATCAGCTTTCTTCAAGGACGGACGCATCAACAACACGTCACACACAGATGTAGATAGTGAACACCTGCACGACAGATAACGCTGACACACAATCTGACATATTATACTGAAAAGCTAAACATAGCTGTGAGCTGGCAATGACGGAACGTTCTTTTCCGATTACATTGCAATATCCACAATACATAAGACGTTATACAAACCATGAATTATTCAAGCCTACACTTATACAGGAAAATACCCCTTAGACTTGCCTGATCATGGGAAAGGTAGCTATACGTCGACTATTGACTTAAGGTCCTAACATCGGTCGTCATGTATCTTCATTAGTCAATTTACAACATACATGGACCTTAATAAACCACATGTATTGACCTCAGTAATGTTGGTTGGCTGGTTGGTTGTTTTACGCCGCACTCAGCAATATTCCAGCTATATGACGGCGGTCTGTAAATAATCGAGCCTGGACCAGACAATCCAGTGATTGATATCATGAGCATCGATCCACGCAATTGGGACAGGATGACATACATCAAGCAAGTCAGCGAGCCTGACCACCCAATTCCGTTAGTCGCCTCTTACGACAAGCATAGGCTCCTTTTACTGCAAGCATGGTTTGCTGACGACCTATTCTATCCCGGATCTTCACGGGTCGACCAGACAATCCGGTAATTGACATGAGCATCGATCCACGCAACTGGGATCGTTGACATGCATCAACCAAGTCAGCGAGCCTGACCACACGACCCCGTTAGTCGTCTCTTACAACAAGCATAGTCGCCTTTTACTGCAAGCATGGCTTGCTGACGACCTATTCTATCCCGGATCTTCACGGGTCCACCTCAACAAACGCCGCTGTTACATATTGTAATAAAGGGATAAGAATAGTTTCCTGATCACCTGACTGAATAGATAAGTGCTTTCTTTGAAATAGAGAACGTGTAAAAAACCTTTCCATTCAAATAGTGAGTGTGTGAGTGGGTATGGTTTAACGCCGCATTTGGCAATATTGCAGGAAAATCACGGCGGGGGAAATGGGTTTCATACATTGTACCCATGTGGGGAATCGAACCCGGGCCTTCGGCGTGACGAACGAACGTTTTAACAACAAGGCTACCTCACCGCCCCTCCATTCAAATATAGATACTGTTTGTCATGGATATTTTAAAACGCATTGTAAAGTACATAAACTGTGACATAAGTCAATAAATAAATCCACAAACTTGCACCAAACTTCCTGATTTTGATCTTTGTAAGTATATTCTGCGGGTGGAGCGGTGGTGTAGACCGGTTGGTAAAGGCCTGGGTTCCAACCCAACCTTCGCACACTGTGCTATGTATATTGTTTGTTTCACAGGCCGATGTGTTGCCGGATGCGAGCGGCGTGACACCAAGCACACTCACTCTAGATAGCATACAAGTACAATGGCGACTCATGGTTTTCGCAGAACGGAAGAGCATGTTCTTCCTGCTGTTACGACATCCCAACATTCATATAACGTTTGTTATAAGATCTTCCATATGTCACGACTGGGTGCCATTAGCTGTTCGCGGGGGCCACAATCTTCTTCCAAACGTCTTGGCCTGGGATCGGTATCAGTGAGTGAGTGAGTGAGTTGGGTTTAACGCCGTTTTGGACAGTATTCCAGTTAAAGCACGGCGTTTCAGCTTCACGTGAGAGTAAAGCTCGAAGTGATGCAGGTCTTAGACGTTTATTGCGAGCACGGGTATTGTGCTGACAAACCTAAAAATATAATCGGGTCAAACCGGGATTTGTGTACCCAAAGGACGCAATTCTGAGAAGCGAATTGCGGCGCCTTAGACAACCTGGCCACCCGTACCCCAGGTGATCGGTAAGTTCAATTATTTAATATAGAGCGTAAACGTATTTGGATGTAGATCTGAATGATTAATGTAATGATGAATTAATACAAATGTGATGTCTACGTAAACATTAGGAGACGATGTAGCTTTCCAACGGGTACTCCATGGAAGAATAAACGAATGTGATATTTAAGAATTCACAAACCAAAACATATGGAATACTGTAAGGGACATTCTCGCGATCTCGCATTCTCGCGATCTCGACCTTTGGAAACGAGGTAAATATGCCCAAACCACGAGAATGCGAGATTGCGAGAACGCGATTTGGCCAAATTCTCGCGTTCTCGCGATCTCGCATTCTCGTATTTTTGGTACATAGCACTTTTTGTCAAAAGTCAACAACACGAGAATGCAACATTTGGACATGATGCAAAAAAACGCAACCTCGCAATCTCGACTTGTCAAATTAGGCCACAAAAACACGAAAACGCGAGAACGCGAGAATGCGACATTTCATTTTCTCGCGATTTCGCGTTCTCGTGTTGTCCCTTACAGTATTCCATACAAACCCCTTTGACTTCATTCGTGATTATTGTGAGGTATTTTAGGCCATTCATATTATATGGCGTTTCTCATCTACACGGCAACATCAGAGCGAGTGTTCGATCAGGAGAAAAAGGAAAAGAAAAGAACAAGTGCCTAAGGCAGAGAATTTATGGATGTCTACTTCTTTATTATGAGGAACACAACGTTTCAGAGTATATGCTTACTCCTTCATCAGGTGAATATTTCCTCAAAATTAAGTTGACATTCATAAATTCTCTTCCTTATGTGTATCACTTCTAAATGCCATTATTCAAAGACTTCAGGTGCCTTTGGTTGAGATACAACTGATAAATTATTTGTTATACACGAAGATGGCATTGTGTGTTCATGTCTTGTTTGTTGTTTGAACCTGCACTGGTCAATATTCCAGCAATACGACATTTTAAGATATGTGAATAAACTGTGAATAAATTGTCCTTATATGTATGTCGGTTGCTATGCAACTGCTGATATCTTAAACGGCGGAAATGTCGGAGGAAATTAGAGCTTATAAACTTCCAAAGTAATATAAACCGAGGATTTGCATGAAACGTTAATTTCTTTTTTTATTGAGAGGTGAATGATTGAATATATTTAGGCGGGAGAATGGATGAACATACATAAAGAGCAATGACGGTAATTTAGGAGCGATGGAACATGAGAAACACACACATAACTACAGAGGGTGTTAAGGTTTTCCTAAAGAGTGTGTCGCATGGAGTGTGTTGGAATGTGTACCTTATACAGGAAGGTTTCTACAGTCTAGAGTGAACATCTTACAACTGATATTCAGGGTTACATTCCAAGAACATGTTTAATCTGTGATATACTGCTCATTTATCGCGACAAACAATTAAACACAACATAACATTTTATTTGTAAAATCAAAAAGAGAATGCATGAAAAAACAACACAGAACTAGATTGACGTGTTTTTTAAAATATATTTTCCTATAGGAGTATCCTTTTGCCCTTTCAGTCATCTATATTTGGGAACATCAGTATCATAAATAATCAGTATGAATAACAAGAACCAGAGTTTACATAAACAATTTCACAAAGATATGTGTTTATAAGAAAAATGTCAGGTTCCAGCTGCCAATGCAAAAAACATCCTACCCTTGTCGGCAGTGAGAGAATGTTGTTGATACAACAGAATACAGTATACTGCATAAACAAGATTGCAAGTATCCAGATGAAAGAAATATGTAAATCTAAGTATATACAGACCTAAGTACACATGCATAAGTCATTACGTTTGTTCATATAAATACATCAACAGCATACCCAGATCCAGGTAATAATAAATAGAGTAAAACCCGACTACAAAACTGTTCAAAACAGCCACCTCGAATGAAGGTTAATCTCATTTTCTCCTAATCTCAAAGCCTTTTCATAATCATAAAAAAATCTCTGCTAAAAGCAGAGCGATGCTAGGCATGAACTGATGTGTCCATATACTTCATGGACAAAGTACTATATTGTACTTTGCAAGGTCTGTGCCATCTCAATAGCATGTGGTTCATAGTGCTAGGACACTTCACACACCAAAACATAGGTCTTCTCTTTTGAAACTCCGGGCTACTTGAGCCAAAAAGAATTATGTTTTTCGTTCACGGTTGAGGCTTTTTCAACGCTGTGCTTTAGACTTTTGCTCATGATTTTTGTACAAGGAAGTGTCCGCAATGATTGCCACATACTGAAAGTATGTTTTTATTAATTACATCTATATATATAAAACATGTACATCTATATATATATAACATGTACATCTATATATAAAACATGTACATCTATATATAAAAAAACATGTACATCTATATCTATAAAATATGTACATCTATATTATAAAACGTCAAAGCCATATAATGACCAGTCTTCAAAACAGATTTCATTGGGTGTAAAAGGCAAAATAGTAATGATATTTAACCGAATGGATTACTGAAATCCGTTATGACATCATGTTTTTGCGAAAAAAGAAAGTATGTCTTGCCCTACTGGTAGACACGCCATGGAATATATTGGAAAAAAACCCTTCTTTCATTTCAAGAGAATGTTGGGAAACAATGAAACAAGTGCAAACATTTTCGGTACCCCTTTCTTCGCAATGACCAAATGCAATCCACAAGTTAAGACACTAATTCCAACAGTGATTCTTTACATAAATAGGGAAACACATATAATTCATGTCCATGAAGTGCGTTCCGTATTCTCTCGATATTCTATCATGTTCTTCTCTACGCAATCCATGTCCGGTCTACAGTCATTGCGGACTGGTAGCTTCAAGACTGTACTTCTTTGATTTGAAGATCCTGAATGGTTTAAAGTTTAATTTAAATCTGCTTTTCTTTTTCGTTTGCCCAGCAATATTCTGAGATCGATATAAAACTTTCTTGTCTTCTTGCATCATAGGTGATGAGTAGTCGCATGACTTTCTGAACCTTTCGGGGTTGGTCGCTACAATAGTATTTGCGATGTGTTGTTGTCCAGATTTCTGCAGAGCGTCCACGAAGATGTCCAGAGCCTGGCCACCACACACGGGTAGGACTTCCACAAACCTCTGGACTTGATCTGGGTTTGGCTGGGGATCCTGCACATACTGGACTATGTTTGGAGTGATCTTCTGAGAGTCCCGTAGGTAGACGAGAGCTGGTCGCACCATGAGGTGCTCCACCAGGTACGAGTAATTCTTCTCAATGATCAGACGATCTTTGGTTGGCATCGGGCGCACTACAAATGGTTATAGAGAGGCTGTAGTGCTCAAATGTGACTCTGGAGGAACCTCTCTGGATTCAGGACACCAGTTAAAACGTACAAATGAATACGAAATCAATAACTTTTTCAATCAGAATTTCGAACCGAATCCAGAATAACCACTCTGTTCCCAAACATTTTGTCCTCTTAAAAAGGTTATTGCTACTTACCTGATAATGGATTAGTTATCCAACACGCATCGCATGCCTGTATGAGCTGGTCCAACATGGTTGCACGATTTGCCTCGGTATTATTGATGCTGTTCCACTCGTAGATGACGGCCCAGTACACACTTGGCAGGTCCTGTTTGTAGTCATGTTCATCCTTTAATTGACAAAGTCTGGACTGGTTCACTCCAATACATCTTGAGAAGTTATTCATCCGACTTTTCTCTGAACCTGAAGGAACAATGAACTACTAGTATCTCATTTTCTATCTCTTCCCACATGAACATATCTGAAATGGATTCCACATTTTGTTTCAAACGCCGTTCGACGCCGTCGGTATATGATGATACACAATGAAGTTACCGAGTCTGACCACCTCATCCATTTAGTCACCTTGTACAACTCTCACGGTTTGCTGGGGACTATTGTTATTGGAACTCAAAAGTAATAAAAATTACATATACTTCACAGTTATAATACCCATCATTTGCACAGTCAGTGTGTACTGTACACATACATTATTGTCTCATCCACAGTAAAAGTTATCCCTCATACCGATACTGACCAAATTATGCTGACTTAAACTTCAACATGTTATCAAAATATCCAATTACCATTTCAAATATTGAAAACAAGCACACTTCCTAGCTTCACTAAGGCATTTTGTCTCGATTATACGCCCAAACAGATTCCAAAGAGCGTAAAAGGCAAAATAGCGATTAAAACTATATGAAGGGATCACTGAACATCAGTGATGACTCCAGGTGTTTGACATGTGCATGGCACAGCCAACCATTGTTAAGATAACATTGGCTAGATATACTCACTGACTGAGTCCTGGATGTTGACACAAAAACCTCTAATTAGAGGCGGAAGTGGTGGAAACTTGGTTGTTGGTGTAGGGCAGGTGGAAGCAGCTTCAAATAATTGTTCAATATTTTTCCGTATTTCCTCGACATCCTTGTGAATTGTTTCCTGAAAGGTTTTAAAAACTAATTAAACTTGAATCTAAACTTCCAGAAGGGTCAGTTCTGTTAATAAACCCACAAAACGTAAGAAGTTAAAAAACTAAAAGGAACAGAAACTAGGAAGGTAGGTGACAAAGTGCTGCAACATTCTTATCATAAAATGTCGTGATATTTGATATAGCTTCCCTCGTATGTTTGTTTTGTTATTTAAAAATGAGAATGTTTTTTGTTTGTTCGTTTTTTGTTCAGCTCTCAGTATTTCAGTATGAGAACAACCTGTATATACCACTCGATTTAGTTATTCGCCTCATACAACAAGCATAACTTGCTGTGGAATTCCACGGGAACCAATGACGTGGCATGAAATGGTAGCAATATACAAACCTCGTCAGATTCGGATTTTAGGCGAAGATTATTGTGAATGCGACAGAATAGGGAGGGAATGACATAGTACCAGGGACAGAATTCCACAGAACTAATAATGACATGTTAATGAGCATCATAAATATTATTGAAAATCTTACAATAATAGTCTCACTGAAACCTGTGTCTCGGGTATCAACTGTGGTTGTTGATCTCCACCTATTGATGGAATGTCTGCCGAAGGACTGATCATGAACACCGTTCTGTGAACAAAAAGTGTTATCCCATGAGGAAATATTTTCATCGCCTGCAGGTAAACTGGTTTTGAAAATTACTCCACAAACCTACACGATGATGTGTTACAAACTGCAGTTAAACCCCTGAGAGTTAAGTCTTATTACCATGACACTTTAATCGGAAATGAGCTCACAGATCTATTCCAAAGGTGACTACTTTTCTACTCTTTCTCCAATCACCTACCTCATCAAGGTCATCATGGGACACACTCCTTCGAAGAAGTGTGTGTATTTCGTTGTTGTCCTGTGTTGTCTGAGTAAGCTTGTGCTCAAATTCCTTCGTTTCGTAGCCTTCCAATTTCCCTGTCAAATATGTTACACGTTGCTCCAGAAAATCACAGTTCCCTTTAGCTGTTGCTTCAGAATCATGGGCTTCAACCAACTTGTTCTGTAGAATGGCATTTTCTCTCTCCAGTTCTACGCGTTTTCGGTCTGATTGCTCTGACATTTCCCTCATCATTTGCAACAGTTGATCGACCTTGGCGACTAGCCTCTGTATTTCTTTGTTTTCCTGTAATCATAGTACCATGTCCACATCCTCAGCATATTGTAAATAAAATACAAAAAACATTGTGTGTGTAGGGGAGGAAGGGTTTAATAACGCCAAAATTCAGCAATATTCCAGCCACATGACAACGGCTTATACATATATGGAATCTGGACCAGACGATTCAGTGATATGTATCACAGACAACGTTCCACGTCAAACGCAATTTTCCAAGTGACCGTGCCGACAATTCAGTCGTCTGGTACGTCGAACTTCGTCAAGTCCAACGGGTCTGATCAAAACGTGTCATCTTGTTCGGCGTTACTACTTACTTTCTTGAAAGAAAGAAACTGATTCTTATGCTGTGGGCGAGGACATGGATGAATAAGCGAGTGATTGAGTTTAAGGCCACGTTGAACAGTATGTTTGAGGAACTAGAGGTGACCAGTGATGATAATCTGGGCGAAACTGGGCTCAAGGCCACGATCTGTGCTTAACGACTTAGACGGCAGGACCACCTGAGCCAACACGACAACATTAGTGAGTGCATGAATATGCCGCTTTTAGCAATATTCCAACTGTATCACGACGGTGTACACCAGGAATGGGCTTCAGACATTGTGCCAATGAGTGTAATCGAACCCGGCGTGGCGAGCCTACCTCATCTCCCTCACGGTGACATTAACCTAGATGTGGCATTTGTATGGTATAATCCGTACTTGCACTGATTTTGGGGGATATCGCTTGCTAGGCCTTTTATCAGTTTCAGCCAAACTTTCGGCTAAAACACTCTTCAGGAGATTGAATGTCGTCTTCATCTTCTGAAAAGGCTCTTCCTGCAAAAATACGAGAAAGTTTCCAAGGTCAGTTTTGCACCTTTAAAAGAGCACATTCAGAATACAGTACAACTCTGCGTGAGGACGATCTCTGCCGTACGCCACATGTCACTTAGACAAGCATCCAGTTTTTTTGTGCGGGTCCTTCGACGCGACATCACGACCATCTGACTGTCAGGCCAACGGCTGAGCTACGCCAACACTGTTAAACTAATAGAAAACGTACCTAGTCATGCCAAAGAAGTTACGGAAAATAACGGAACGGGTCGAATGGTACTTAGGGATGAGCCGAAATATCGGTAAATGAAAACGGCTACAGGCGTTGAATTACCGAATGCATATGAATGAATTTTTAAAAACGTTTTGAGTGATTTTGTGACACACAAGTTTGTGAGGGAACATTCCTAGGATAATGTAGATCATTGTAAGGAACGAGAATCGTTCAGACAGGCTACTGACCCCACGAAGGCAAGTCGGCTTTTGAATCATTACTGAACAAATGTAGCAAGTGAAAGTGATTTGGATGAAAATTTCTTGCAGCCAAAATTTTCTCAGCAACCCTGATGCTAGGCTGACGTCAGCTAATGCTAAGACTATCTGGTAACTTAATTACGTTAATAAAATCAAATGGCATAGTGACGTACATGTACCTGAAAGATTTGTGGTACTGAATTCTAGGGTAGGCCAAAATTTGCTCATTTTAATGCAGTATTGTTATCAAGAAGAGTTGTATCTTTTGTACCTCAGCATGAGTCTCGGCAGTATCAACTTGTACATGTGTTGTAGTTTGTAGACCACTCGACATGCCTCGTCTGTCATTCCCACTTGTATGAAATACCCCTCTGCTCGACGACATCCTGTCCTGGCCACTTGATGTGCTCCTGTCCTTGAAACTCAATGTCTTGTTCCCGCTGTTCAATGATGTATTGTCTCCTCTACGTAAAAACAATGCTTGATTCGACGTCTTTATGTCCTCTACGATTGACGTCATGGTGTTTGTTCCTCTCGACGATATTCTGTCTTCTCTGCTTGACATAATTCTGTCCTCTCCCCTTGACGTCATATTGTCCGGCCTTCTCGAAGTCATTCTTTCCTCTCCCCTTGACGTCATATTGTCCGGCCGTATCGAAGTCATTCTGTCCTCTCCCCTTGACGTCACATTGTCCGGCGGTATCGAAGTCATTCTGTCCTCTCCCCTTGACGTCACATTGTCCGGCCGTCTCGAAGTCATTCTGTCCTCTCCCCTTGACGTCATATTGTCCGGCCGTCTCGAAGTCATTCCATCCTCTCCCCTTGACGTCATATTGTCCGGCCTTCTCGAAGTCATTCTGTCCTCTCCCCTTGACGTCATATTGTCCTGCCGTATCGAAGTCATTCTGTCCTCTCCCCTTGACGTCATATTGTCCGGCCTTCTCGAAGTCATTCCATCCTCTCTCCTTGACGCCACTCTGTTCTCTGTCCTTGTCGTCATGCTGTCTGGTCGTCTTGGCTACTATCAGTCCTCTCTATTCCGACAGTAGAACGATTCAGACCACACTAGTCATTCAGCGTCGAATTACATCTGGAATATCATTGAAACTGATATTGATGGCAAAAAGCAAAGCATAGTAAGTAGCAATATGTAAATGTAATAAACATTATTCTGACGATAAATATGGCCATAAACATATCAGTTAATACGATAGAACTCCAGACAATATCGTTGGTTTACATGAACAATTCTAAACTCAAAATATCAGTGTATATGTAACACTTTCGATTCATAACAGCAAGTGGTATGTGCCTTATAGTTCATGAATACATAATGTCAACATAAAACGACAATGTGAAAATGGAAATGTTAAAGTGTTAAAATAATTTGCACACATAATGCATCATAACGATCGTGTACATTGACAACAATTACTGTGGATTAGTCAGAAACTTACGGGGAACGTCAGAAATATGCTTTCCCAATATATCGTTATGTTAATGAGCAGAGAACAAGGCATATATTTGTATCATACGTCGAGTTAATGAGTGTTGCTTAACACAGTGAGCAATATTCTGAGCAATATTCCAGCTGTATGACGGCGGCTTGTAAACAATCGAGATTGGGCCAGACAACCCAGTGACTGAAAGCAGGACCAGTGAGTCTCACCATCAGATAGGATGTCACGAAATCAGCAAAGCCACTAAGACTTATCCCCAATCCATTTTTGTTGACACGCATAATTTACTGGGGGCCAATTATACCACGCATTCCATACAGGACGCAATAAATATAGTAGCATATCTCCACACTTTTGTATGGATAACAACTTTTATTCTTTCTACGAAGTTTCAGAGCTACTTCTTGCTCCTTCGTCAACATTCACCTGATGAAGAAGCAAGAAGAAGCTCTGAAACATCGTACAAAGATGAAAGAAGTTGCTTTTCGTAAAAAGTGTCATGTATTCATATTCTCCCAACTTTTAAATGCCTATCCAAAACTTCGAAGTATTTAAAGTTGTTCTATTTATAGATTGTCTGCTTTGTATTGCGATTTGATATGAGATCGTAAAAGCAACGGTCGATATTGATTCATGTAAGCCCTATGCAGCACTGTTTGATGCATGTGTGTGAATTCAAAATATTTCTAGTTCATTTCTAATTTTGAATACACATCATGTGGCCATGGTGAATGACTAAAACCAAATATATTTCTGTTTTCAGAAGTTTAGGAAATATATATAATCTCATATATAGTCGGGGCGATGGATACGTGACCGACTGGAAACATACTGCATGATTTCAACAACACAAAGGGTGGTTAAATACTCTGCACTGAACTTCAAATTCTCTATAGCCTGTCTGTGTGTTATCAGTCGCTATTGTATGTCCCTGGGTTGCATAGGAACATGTCAAAGTGACATTGTTCTCCGCCCCGAAACACGAAAAGACGTAACTGCTATTTTCCTTTTTGTATTTGCATTGACCTTTTGCACATTCCACCCGTTTCTGTATTACATGCTGATCTGAATTCACGATATAACGTTTCATTATTTATTACAAGAGCCATTAGATATGCCACATGAGTCAATTCAAGCAATGGACGTATAATATCACCAAGGAATGTAGTAGTTTATCAGAACTTTGACCCTGATGTATGTAAAACGATTTGTCGAAAGTCAGATATGCCTTCTATACTTCCATGATATATTGTACCTCTGAATACGGATTTTCATAGGTAAAGTAAGTTTTGAAATTTCACATTTCTATCGCCTCCATCCATACAACCCATCGGTATGTAGGTCACCAACTGTCTAGCATTATTGTGGCTGTCTACGTAACATTGAGAAGACTTACCTTGACGTTCACACCCGCATTATGTCCCACACCACACCTTTGGACCAGTGAAATCAGAGACGTTATACTAAGGGACAGGCCTCAGGAGTAGATAAACATTAACGATCTCTGGCGCGCCCATGAGTGTATTTGATACATTGGGACGCTTTTCTTCTGTCAAGACGCACGACACATGCGCAGATGCTCTTATCTGAGGACCTCTCATATTGCTTGGGGACTCCCCTTAGCGCCTGTTCACCTCACGTGACCCAATAGCTGTTTATGATGACGTGGCTTGAAACCTCGTGAAAAGAACTCCATATATCGAGACGGTGCTTTTACTTCCTGCAGATAAAAGGCACTCGCTGTTTTGACGGTGACCTCGCGGCAATAGTCGGTTTAACCTGTTTATTTTGTCTTTGGTAAAAGCCGAACTCAACAATTTAACCTGTAAATAATCGAGGCTGGACCATACAAACCAGTGACTGATATTATGAGCAGCGTTCCAAACTCTCGGAGGATAGTGACACACAATGAAGCAAGTCTCCGATCCTGACCACCCGATCCTGACCACCCGATCCAATAAGCTTTAAAAAGGATATGTTTCTCGGGCACATTAAAAAATGGTCACCTTGTTGATGAAGCAGATTCTGTTATCCATGCAATAAACACAAACGGCACTGGCATTGTAGTAACGGTTTCAATGTGAGCCGAGTGAGAAACATATTGTTATAGAAGTCCAATATAAACAGTAATTGTCATCAGAGTACATTTAGTAAACCTTGTCCATCGTAAGTGTCACCTATTTCCGTTATATCACGATCTATCTGCAAATGTCCATTCACAATTTTCCCATTAAAGCAAATAATAAGATTATAGTATCATAGATAGTTACCTGGAAATGAACTTCATCTATCTGAATCAACTTTGTGGGTCATGTTCACTGTTGATAGCTATGTTTTTCTATCACTGAACGTTCGCTCGAGCAGCACTTGTCAGGCATGACCTGATTACCACCGTGTGTCACTACGCTATTTACATCCTTGAATAATATACCTACTGTTATCATTATGCACTATCATTGTACAGGTTGATTATATTTGTTCACTGTTTGGATTCATGATGTATTTTGAGTGATAAGAACAGTGTTTGTTAGGGACTATTTCTTGTATACACTCTTGCATCGTGGCTATTTTTAGAAAGTAAGTCGACATTTGATCTAGATAAACAATGACCTAATACACTGGTTATTGAAGATTTTGCGATAATATATTGCTATTATCTTACTCCCTGGTATATTGCTATTATCTTACTCCCTGGTATATTGCTGTTATCTTACTCCCTGATATGTTGCTATTATCTTACCCCCTGCTATATTGCTATTATCTTACTCCCTGCTATATTGCTATTATCTTACTCCCTGGTATATTGCTGTTATCTTACTCCCTGGTATATTGCTGTTATCTTACCCCCTGCTATATTGATATTATCTTACTCCCTGGTATATTGCTGTTATCTTACTTCCTGGTATATTGCTGTTATCTTACTCCCTGTTATATTGCTGTTATCTTACCCCCTGGTATAATGCTATTATCTTACTTCCTGGTATATTGCTATTATCTTACTCCCTGGTATATTGCTGTTATCTTACTCCCTGGTATATTGCTGTTATCTTACTCCCTGGCATATTGCTGTTATCTAACTCCCTGGTATATTGCTTTTATCTTACTCCCTGGTACATTGCTGTTATCTTACTCCCTGGTATATTGCTGTTATCTTACTCCCTGGTATATTGCTGTTATCTTACTCCCTGGTATAGTGCTATTATCTGTGATGAAATGAGCGTTATACCTGATGTTGCTTACAAGAAGACGACAGATCCGATGGAGCAAGATTTATGATATGGTGAGCCACCTTTAAGGGCGGAAAACAGATCTTGTTCATATCTTGTGCGTTAATGTGACGAGATTTTATGTCCTGGCTCTGCAAGCATCAGACATCCTTTTTCAGCATAACAATGCTCGGCCGAACTCAACACGAGTCTGTACTGATTTCATGAGAGATCAGAACATAAACGTACTGCCGTGGCCTTCAAGGTCATCGGGACTCAACCCAATGTGAATTTAAAATCTACATATTAATGCATTAAACGATGTTTACAGGCCGCTGAATATCACACATACCTTGAAACCTCCTTGGTTCTGAGGCAACCATGACATCTACAATATGTTGTTGTTCAGATTTCTGCAGAGCGTCCACGAAGATGTCCAGAGCCTGGTCACAACAAACGGGTAGGGCTTCCACAAACCTCTGGACTTGATCTGGGTTTGGCTGGGGATCCTGCACATACTGGACTATGTTTGGAGTGAGCCTCTGAGAGTCCCGTAGGTAGACAAGAGCTGGACGGACCATGAGGTGCTCCACCAGGTACGAGTAATTCTTCTCAATGATCAGACGGTCTTTGGTTGGCATCGGGCGCACTGAAAATAGAAACACGATCGTATATATATAGATGATTCCGCTGACACAATAAGAAGACTAAAGGAAGAGCAGTTTATGGCAAATTGGCAGTCCCAGTTTCATACAAGTAATTGAGAACCTTTTGATTATCTGCTTACTTGAAGGTTATGGCAACACAGATCCAATTTGTTCTAAGTCTGTGCACTCGATCTAATAACAAGAATTAGAACTAGCCTGAAATGATCACCAGGAGTCGAGAGAGTAACAAAGACAAGGGTCGGGGCAATTATTCGTAAGGTCAATCAAACAAAAGTCTACTTGTCTGTTTACTCAAGTAACACCCGCCCCTTCTCACCTCGCTGAAATCACCCCAACACCAAATTTATCCCGATTATGTTTCTAGGTTTGTCAGCACCATGTCCGTGCTACAAAATGGTAAATGTCCAAGACCTGCATCACTTAGGGCTTTCCTCCCGAGATGGCAAGCCATGTTATAACTAAACATTCTGAACCTTTCTTTGTTTTTTTACTTTGCATAATTGATAACTGCTTCTGAGCATATGGTGAAACTCGGGGACTCGAACTTACACACTCTAACAGCATGTTCACGTTCGGTGAAAATGGGATTCACACCATAGAGTGCATTTTTATTTACCATCTAAGGGATTATGTATTCCACACTCATCACAGGCCTGTATCAGCTGATTCAGCCTGGTGGCACGGGTTGCCTGGGTAACACTGATTCCGTTCCACTCACAGATGACGGCCCAGAACAGAGTAGCAACATCGCCGGTGTAATCCTGTTCCTTCTTTAGTTCAAGCAGTCTGGTTCGATTAACTCCAAGGCATCTGGAGAACTGATTTATTCTGCTTCTGTCAGGCGAAACTATTCGACAGAGACATGAATCAAAATAGAGCCAATGGTAACAGTAAGGTAAACTAATGTACTTCCATCCTTTATTATTTTGCAAGCGATGTTTCATCCGCGAATGTTTATCTAAACTCGATTATGTAATTGCAACAGTGAAATACCTTTATGAAGGTTAGCTTTCTCATTATACTCAACAAATTCCAACATCATTATCACACTCACAACAATTTGTTAATACACTCGCTCACAAATGCATGCATTGTTATCACACTCGCTCACAAATTCATGCACTGTTATCACACTCGCTAACAAATTCATGCATTGTTATCACATTCGCTAACGAATTCATGCATTGTTATCACACTCGCTACAAATTTATGCATTGCTATACTCACAACAAATTTCTACATTGTTATCATACTTAGCGATAAATTCATGCATTGTTATCACATTCGCTAAATATTCATGCATTGTTATACTCACATCAAATTTCAACATTGTTATCATACTCACCAACAAATTCATGCATTGCTATACTCGTAACAAATTTCAACATTGTTATCATACTCACCAACAAATTCATGCATTGTTATCACACTTGCTAACAAATTCATGCATTGTTATCACACTCACTAACAAACTCATGCATTGTTATCACACTCACTAACAAACTCATGCATTGTTATCACACTCACTAACAAATTCATGCATTGTTATCAAACTCACTAACAAACTCATGCATTGTTATCACACTCACTAACAAACTCATGCATTGTTATCACACTCGCAAAAAAATTCATGCATTGTTTTACTCACAACAAATTTCAACATTGTTATCTAACTCGCCAATAAATTCATGCATTGTTATCATACTTACCAATAAATTCATGCATTGTTATCATACTTACCAACAAATTCATGCATTGTTATCATACTAAACAACAAATGCATGCATTGTTATCACACTCGCTAAAAAAATCATGTAATGTTATCATACTTGTTTACAATTCATGCATTGTTATCATACTAACCAACAAATTCATGCATTGTTATTACACTCGCTAACAAATTCTTGCATTGTTATCACTCTCACCAACAAATGCATGCATTGTAATCACACTCGCTTACAAATTCATGCATTGTTATACTCACAACAAATTCCTACATTGTTATCATTTTCACTATTATCAACATTGTCATAATTCTCTTCCAAATCTACGTTGTTACAATACTCACTGCTCAATCCCTACATTGTCTCAAACTCAATAAGAAATTCACATACTCAATAAAAAAGAAATTCACATACTCAATAAGAAATTCACATACTCAATAAAAAATTCATACACTGTTATCACATTTACTAATTCCTGCTTTGTTATCATACTTACTAACGAAGTCCTGGATGTTGACACAAAACCCTCTCACAAGAGGCGGCAGTTGAGGACACATGGTTGTAGGGCAGAGACTGGTTGACGCAGATTCCAATAGCTGATCCACCTTCATCCGTATTTCTTCAAGAATAGGAAGGTGTCCCTGAAACGTTGGTTGACACTCAGCATTTCCAATAAGTACATGCACGTGCATTAAAATACCATCAGAACAATGTGTTTTGCATATGTGCGATGACAAGTGTCAAGACGTAACGAACTATAAGAGAATTGTCTGCCTACCTAAAATCGCCAATTCCTAAGCATGAAACAGTGAGACTTAGACCTACATATATATGCTCCTCTAGAGCCTTACAGTGGACATATTACCACCATAATAAACTACTTGGCAAAAGAAACGATACACCAATATTTGATGTGGCTATACATTAAACTAAACAAGAAATGGTTATTCGATGGCCATCTTATGCCCGGCAGTTTATCTCCAATAAAGTTGATGTATATTTTGCAATATGCTATCTATCTAAACGCGTATCAAAACTCCCATACATGTATACACATATCTTTAAAGGCAAAATAACTATCTCTTTTTTGTTATTCGAACAGTATGGAAACATGTTGTACTGAGGATTATCTTTAGCAGGGTCGCGTTATCAGACGGTATTCCCTATTGTGACATAGAGCATCCCAACACGTCCACCTTGTATACGTGGATATACCAACTCGATAACTTGAATTCTTTTTATAGCAACTTACACCTATTGGCTCATTGAAACCCGTGTCTTGAGTACTGATTGTCATGGTGGATTTATTGAGACAGGCATAACTGAACGAAGGACGATATGGCTTCTCCTGTGAAATAAGGTGTTACATTTAAGGGAATATGAGGGTAAATCATGTTTAGTGCGGACATGTAAATACAATCACAAATGTTAGCGTTGAAACATTTATGGAATACTTTATCAATGTTAGTCATGTTAGCAACGCTGTATAATAGTGAAACATACTTCGGGAGGCATGTTGAAGAAAACGGTCTATCCAATATGAGCACCCCTGCTAGAACAATAAAATGGAAGCAATGAATTCAAGACAAAGACTCAGGACAGACGACCAGATAACTGTGTTGACACCAGGTTTTCTCCAATCTCATTATAATAAGGTCTTAGTTCTCGCTATCACTTAACAAAGATCTGAGGACATTCCATTACGGGTCACGTCAGAACGATTTTTCATCCAACCAATCAGAGCGTCGCTTACCAGATCATGAAAGTGACGGACGGAATGTGCTTTCTCATCATGCAACCTCGAAAAAATTAACAGAGGGTATTCCGAACGACAGTTACGTTTTTTTCAATATATCCATACAATCTAGGCCATCTATAAGCGATTACAGAATGTTTTTTTAACAGATTTAAATTTTATAAACGAGAATACGTCAAAATATGTTTCGAAGCGTAGTCGCCAGTTTGAAACTTGTGCCACAAAGCTCGAGAAAGGTGCCTTCTGATTGGCTAATGTCGATTGGTTGTCAGTCATTTCATTTGTCGTTTAAAGTTCGCGAAAGGTCGTTCTGACGTGACCCGTTATGGGATGCAATCAGATCTTTGTTTAGCGGTACCAAAAACTAAGATCTGATTTTAATGAGATTTGGTTTTCTCAAATAGGGCATGAGAATATGCTGCATTAGCGATATAGAAACAAACCTCCAATAAGTCATACTCTATGTACTGCCTTATGTGACACTATCCTGGTGTGCAAGTCATCGACTCTCACTTCGTTATGCAACATCTACTTGAACACATTATCTACAGATATATTCTATACCTCGTGGCTGTTCTTCATTGTCGCTATGGTAATTTCAGCTGCTTTCGGTTCGTCCTTGACTGCTTTTAATTCGTCTTTGGCAGCCAGGAAGTCTCCCTGCAAACTGTCCTTTTGGCTTTCCAGGATTGCGTTTCTTCTCTCTAGTTCAATCCGCTTTTCAGTGTCTTCCTTCACCTGCTCCATGAACATCTGTTCAAGTCTTATTTGGCCACTGACGACATGTTTGTTCAGACTTTCCATCCACGATATTTGTTCGTCGACCTTGGATACTAAATGTTGAAGTTCAAAATGCTTGTCATTGGATTTTCTGAAAATTAAATTAAGAATCCACACACATTAGGAGTTATCCACACATGAAAATACTTGGACTAGTATTGGATAGTAAAGGACCAACAAAATGCATTTCTGAACACTGTATCATAGCTTTAAATTATTCTATTAATCCGAATAGTTGAAGTGATACCTGCACTGTGTGTCCGCGACGTTTTGTTAACACATTTTCAGTCTCGTAGTTGTTCAGGATAACCAAAGATTGCAGTCGCGCAATCAGCGTCTTCAGCTCTTGCAAGGGCTCCATCTAAAGTGGATATGAAAGTCGCTTCAAAGGGTTTGCTTTTTGGTTTGTATCACACCATGTGACAATGTCCAGATTGAGGGACTTCCCAATTGTATTTGTATTGATAATGTAGCTTAAATATT